TTTCTAATTCTACTAGGCAAAACCTCCAGGATAACAGACTCCGTATGTATCACAAAATATTAATGGCTATAACCTTCCCGACTGACTTAGAAAAATTATCGCTTTTTGTAGGGAAAGGCGAGGTAGGATGCTTTCCACATTGAACTCTGACGTTTGCTTTTCCGGCTCAAAAATCGAATCCATGTTTCATCACATGTAATCCACTCGATTTAGAAAGTGATTCGCCTTCTTCACGATACCTCATCTGGTACTGCCGACCACAATTTTCAACCCTTACCCCATTCTGCTCCGACGTCAACAAACGAGGGCACCTATCTTGTTGAATCGCGGTGCATTCCTAATCTATCAGTCACATTGCCCTTAGCTGTACCATATGAAATAAGCGAACTTATCTACTACGTGCTTCACACTTGCTCGTCTATCTCGGAGTATGTACTCCTAAATTAGCAGTTACTGTTTCTTCATCTGTTAAGACACTGGTCTACCTGCACGACTGTGGTCTGCAGATACCTCTCTATGTCTTTAAACCGCTTCATTCACTTTAAAATGACACCTTTGACAGAGCAGCCTCTCCGTAAACTCTTTCTAAATCTTCACGAATATCGAAAAAAGACTTTCCGAGTTTTGTGTAAAACTTTATAACGATGCGCTGTTCGTTGACGCTGTGAGACGCCATGTTCGAACGGACGCCCTAATGTGTCGTCATTTACGGTTTATGACGTCATATGTGATGACGTCAAAGTTTTGTATATAGCACGATTCAATTTGAAATTATCTGTTTTCACAGCATTTAAAGTTTCATTTTTAGGTTTTTTGACACTATTGAATAAGTTAACAAATTTATTGATGCACCCTCGTATATTTATTTTGTCTAATACATACAATATAAAAGAAAAATGGACCTAAAAAGAAAACAAGAAACATGGCAATGCCATGAAACCAGGTTTTCAATTATCACCATTGTAGATAAATATGTTGTATTTGAAATACAAATACAAGCAACAGACAATGTAACTATGTGCAATGTCAAACATGAATAATGTTGGAGGAATTGCCACAGAAGAAGTGTTCACTATATATTCTGTATAAGGAAAAAAAACAAAGGGCCATTAGGTCAAATATTATCCAATCGCAAAACCCCGACTATATGCGCCAGGGCACTTGATAACAAAGCTTCTGTGAAACTTTGGTCAAAATCCATTGAGAAATGTAGGAGAAGTTCAGCACAGAAGAAATTGTTCACTATATATTCTATATAAGGAAAAAAAAATAAAGGGCCATAATTTAGGTCAAATATGATCCAATAACAAAACCCCGACAATATGCCCAAGGGCACTTGTTGACAAAGCTTCTGTGAAAGTTTGGTCAAAATATGTTGAGAAATATAGAAGAAGTTGCGCACAGAAGAAATTGTTCTCTATATATTCTATATAAGTAAAAAAAACAAAGGGCCATAATTAGGTCAAATATTATCCAATCACAAAACCCCGACAATATGCGCCAGGGCACTTGATCACAAAGCTTCTGTGAAAGTTTGGTCAAAATCCGTTGAGAAATGTAGGAGGAGTTCCGCACAGAAGAAATTGTTTACGCCCGCCCGCCCGTCCGCCCATCCGCCCGCCGACATACCTCAATCTAATAACCAGTTTTTTCCTTCGGAAAACCTGGTTAATAAGGCATCACAAATACATTACAGACAAAATCACTGTACTTATAATTGATATTAAACAAATCAATTTGAATCAGAATCTACTTATTTAATTATGACTTATTGCTCTCATAATTTATACAAACATAAAAAACTACTTGTTAATGTATAGCATCTTTCACTTAGTAAAACTACATTTCACTATAAACTTCTATTTACATACATATATAACCTAACATAATGAATATAGAACTTCATTATATACCCCGTCTCCATTACCAATCACTATGATACACAGAATATTATTTATTCCATAGATAACCAGCTGTAAAGAAAAAATACCTTAGTACAGATCTCCTTTTTGTCGCGTGCCCAATTTAATCCATGTGAAAATAAAAATGTAAAAAAAATCGTCATGATAAACCTTAACTCTCACATGTTTCTTTCGAGAACTGTAGCTTATTTGCAGTACCAGTGATTGTAATGAAAGTTCTTCAAAAGAGAATATCATATATCGGTATAATTATCAACAGCACTGCGCTAGACAGTGCGTTCTCAGTGCTTGATAATAAAATCTCAGTGACTGATAGTTCAAGAGCCTGTGTAATGTAGAAGTTCTAAAAGGGCGATAGTTCTCTCAAAATCCACATTAGAGAAATGGGCATTGGATAGTGACCTCCCTTTAAGCTCTTTAATAAGTGTGAAGTTTCAATTAATTCTTTTCACTTGTTTTGGAGACACCAACTTGCACGCAAACACATAACAAAAAAAGTTACGTCGACAAGTACAATTGTTCCCTATTCCTAAAATAATCGAGCTAAAACAAGAAATTTTGTCAATCTTAACAGGCGATATTTTAATGGACCAAATATGACACCAAAGAAACGGATGGAACTTGATTGCGCAACTCACGAGTCGGTTTAGGTTATTGAAAAAAGAACAAAATAAATTGTAGGGCCATTCCAAGGTGATAAATGAAATGATTGTTTTTTCGACGAAACTAACAGTTATTCGTTAGAAGATGCTGTTCAAAATTCTATATTTTATTATATAACGTCTGACAAATCAGACAAAACATCAACAACGTTGCCACCCCACCACCAGAAAACTCAAAGACCATTGCATTAAAGGCACATTATGCCTAAGAAACACAGAATTCATTTTGTTCCTTCTTTAGAATTTGGCAAACTTAAGTATTATAACGTTTAAAACAATGGTTTGAGAGCATGCGAGTTGGTTATCAACTGAAAGAAATGTGAAATTATTTGTCATGGAAGCAGCAACATATAAACAAAGTTACATAATAAATTCTGACCTCACACAAAAATAATAAATCAGTGTAACTGTTCTATCTGTCAAAAGGCAACATAGGCAAAAGATAAGGTTCAGAGAATTGGCCAATCAGTAACATTTTTAGAAATTAAAACATGATATCAAAAATAATAATCTTTTGAGAAGTAAAAATGAATGCACTTCTGGGACACTTCATTTTCTGTTGGGTATGTTTTACGGAATTAAATCATGGAGTTTTATTTTAAATGTTTTTAAAAATTTTAAAACTGGGCTTTATGTTTTTTCCCCTTTTAAAATTCCCATTCCATAGTGGGTTTAAACTTAATTATTTTTAATATTAAAAAGGTCTGGGGTTTTCGACCCTTACTTTTGGGGTTTTTTGTTTTAGAACCTGTTTTTTCCCTTTTTTTTTTTGGAAGTAAAAACCCCTTTCCCAAAATTTTAAACTCTGAATAAAATTTGTTTTATGTATTATTTAAAATTTTGGTTGGTGGGTAGTTTTAATCCTAAATTGTAAGGGAAAATAGAAACGTCCCCTTTTAAAACTAATTTGGAAAATTTTAAACTGTAGATTAAAGGGCCGGAAAAACCCCCGAACGTATTATTTACCCCCAATTATTCCCCCTTGGGCCTAAATGGTTTTTTGGGTTTTGTTTTGATATCTGTAACATATTCTGTGCTATATGGCTGTCGAGAAAAGATTTATATTAGAACAAGTGAACAGTCCTCTAGTTTACTCAAAGATGGAAAAAATAAATTACTTCTAGTAACAATATGATTGGACAATTTGAGGTTTTTATTTCTCTAAGCATTATTAGACAAGCATTAATTTTTTAAAAGTAAATTTAAATATAGATACTTTGATTTTCAAATTGAATACACTTTGGCATGATTTAAAATGTCAATCATATTAAATTACAAAAGATATTATCACATTTATAAAAAATGTTTTCATTCAGACTGACCTGTTTCGAAAAATGCTATAATGGCAAGTGAGGAACTGGATAAGATCTGTTTAAGAATTGGGTGCGAGGCTCAAAAGGACTGGAATACTTACAGGAAGGTCTTCAAGAATTTGTTGGAGAAAAAGTACTGCAATGTCGTGATAATACCCTTCAAAAGATAATATCAACATTACCATCTGGATCGGCACAACACTGCAACCAGTGTACAGAAAATAATCTTTCTCCAGAACATTTTAACTCTACGAAGGCATGCAAAAAAGGCACATGTAGCCAAAAGACCTCAAACAACTGTTTTGGAAGCAAACCAGTCGGACGTAGGAAATGTCCTGCAAAAGGCATTTGCAGTAAATTTTACGACGCAATTATAGATGAGCATGCATTTAAAGACCCTTTATGGAAGAACACAGACCCAAGAACGTGGTGTTCGGATCCTCATGGGTGGAGTTATGCAAAATGTTTCCAAACAACTATAGGTCCAGGGACATCAGCTAAAGATACAGATGCTGCTAGTTTGCTGAGCATTATTATAAGCAACAAGTCAATACAAAACTTTGTGGCCAGTTCTAGTTCGTTTTATACGGTAAGTACAGGAAACGGTCAATGATTCATAAATGATTTTAATATTCATCAAAATTCTTAATAATTATAAACAGCAAGTCGATTCAAACTTTGTGACCAGTATTAACCCTCATATTACTAGTTTGTTTCATATGGTAAGTACATATAACGGTTGATGATTTATAAATGATTTTTAAATTCATAAATATACTAAATTAATTACTGAATAGATCTAGACTTACTTTTAAAAAATATAATTTTGCCATTTTATTTTAAAGATAGCCTTGATCGAAATGTAAACGTTTAAATATGATCTCGAGCTGCAGTCTTTCCTAAGTAAGGATTGAACGTATAAAAATCATTAAAACCAAGTATACCCTTACATTGAGCAGAAAAAAATAATGTTCTTTATGATTATACATAAGAATAAAAAGTTAAAGAAGTTGGAATTATGTGTTATGATTTCTTCTTCTTCACAAATGTATATATGATAAAACTTCTTTCAGGCGCGAAACATCCGAAATGAAATTTTACATAGCTCAAAGCTTGAAATCGACGAAACAACTGTGTGTTCCTATTTGGACGCGTTCATTGATGTTCTTCAAGATCCAAATTGTCTGATTAATGACGAGGCGTCAAAGAAAGCGGTTCAAAAACTAAAACGGTAATCAAATTATATATCAAATATGAATTTTGAACTGATTTTAAAGTTTAAAATAGAGTTTTTTCTGCTTTTTTTTTCAAAAACTAGTCCTTATTGGGCCTTTTTTAAAAGGTTTACCTTTCCCATTTCCCTTTAACTTTTTTTTGTATATTTTATTTTTTAAATTTTTTAAATGAGGGGCTGAATAATAATTTTTTTTAAAAAAAAAATAAACTTTTTTTTTTTAGAAAACGACTAGTAAAAAGTTTGCCCATTTTGGCCTTCCGTGTTTTTCATGGTTAAAAAGGGGAAATGTTACTTAAAAAAAGAAAACAAAATGTTTCCCGAAAAATAAATTTTTTAAAGAGATAAATTTTAATAAAAAAAGAAAATTTATAGCTTTGCAGTTTGTTTTATTATAAAAATTTCTAGGGACTATCGAAGTTGAATTATATGAGGAAGGATATATTTTTTTACCATTCATCTTTCCGTCCGCCCCGCTGTCCTCCATAACTTTTTCATGTATGGATGGTGTAAAATATTTTCGTATAAATGTGTAGCATATCGGAACAATGTGTCATGTATAAGATATGGATCCGAAACTTAAAGGTCAATGTCACACTCTAATTCAAAGGAAATTATTACATAGAATGCAATAAATAAGTTCCATTTGCCATTCAGTGAATCAACGTGATGCAATACAGAATAGGTATTTAAGCATTAAAGAAATAGAGAATATATAAACAACCGAAAAGATTATTGACTTGTGATGTTTACTCAATTTACGGTTGTTAACTTAATAAAAATCTGTTTTCTTGTTTTTTTAGAAGTAACTTAACGGTTGTCTGAAATAACTCTATTGCATTTCGTATCACCGAACTGATAAATATAAATATACATGTTTCACGCGATTATGCAAAACTCCTTAGAAATCATTTAAATAGATGTCGAGTAATATTACTCATTAATGGGTGCAAAACAGTTTTACACCATTCACTTTCCTCCATCTGAAGAATAGGTTGTGTGAAGTCTATTTTATGCATACACACAGAAGTTAAATCTTAATATATTTAGAAACAATTCTTTATAACGTGTATATTATATTGTCCAAACAAATTGTCAAAGAAGCGTATTTTCTCTTGCTTACACATCACATTCCATAACATAAGCTAGCAACCCTTCTAATAAATACACTTTAAATTTCATTATTCTTTTGAACGCATCCATTGCAGACTTGTACAATATAAATGATGTGAATGTCATAAAGAAATTTTGCTTTCTGTTTTAAGCTTCACGAATAATAGGCGAAATTCGTTGTCTATCGTAGACAGAAATGCCTACAATGTTATTCCAGCTTTTTGATAAAATGTGATGCATGCAATAAATTAAAGATTTTAAATGAGAATTTTGTAAAGGTCTATGTTTAACCTTTTACCCCATGAGCATATTGTGAAAAATGGCCGTTTTCATTGAGAAGCCTCCTGTTACAAGGTCAAACTGCTATGAAACTATGAAAAATGTTTCAATACTGATGAAACTTGGCAAAAATGTTGACTAGACCACAGCCTCTGTAACAGCATGATCAGTCGTAAATTACCTGTTACCATGACAACGGCGGGACGTCTCACAATTGCCCAAAATCGTTTTTTTGATTTTTTTCCATCAAAACTTATTTCAAAGTGCTGTAACTTCTCAATGAATTGAGATAGAGTAAAAAAGGGGGCAAAAAGCCGTCATAACACGTATATATAAGGGACAATGTTAAATTTCCCAATTCGAGCAGAAAGTTAGAAAAAAGATAATATTTAGCACTTGCTGAAGTTCCCTCATGTCTCTGTTCTCTAAATACTTTAGTCAAGACCACCCATCATCACTGCTCTCAGCGTGCGGATATCACAGTAACCTTTGTTTGTTTTTAAAACTTTAAACGACAACATCACCTACGCCACCAACACAACCATTAAGACCAACATCATCACTGTTCTCAGCGTGCGGATACCACAGTAACCTTTGTTTGTTTTCAAAACAGTCAACAACAACATCACCTACGCCACCAACACAACCACTTAGACCATTGTTATCACTGTTCTCAGCGTGGGGATACCACAGTAATCTTTGTTTGTTTTCAAAACTATAAACAACAACATCACCTACGCCACCAATACAACCACTAAGACCACCATCATCACTGCTCTCAGCGTACGGATACCACAGTTACCTTTGTTTGTTTTTCAAAAACTGTACACAATAACATCACCTACGCCACCAACACAACCACTAAGACCACTCATCATCACAGCTCACAGCATGCTGATACCACAGTAACCTTTGTTTGTTTTCAAAACTGTACACAATAACATCACCTACGCCACCAACACAACCACTAAGACCACTCATCATCACAGCTCATAGCGTGCTGATACCACAGTAACTTTTAATTGTTTTCAAAACTGTCAACAACAACATCACTTACGCCACCAACACAACCACTAAGACCAATATCACCACTGCTCTCAGCGTGCGGATACCACAGTAACTTTTGTTTGTTTTCAAAACTGTAAACAACAACATCACCTACGCCACCAACACAACCACTAAGACCACCATCATCACAGCTCTCAGCATGCAGATACCACAGTAACCTTTGTTTGTTTTCAAAACTGTAAACAACAACATCACTTACGCCACCAACACAACCACTAAGACCACCATCATCACTGCTCACAGCGTGCGGATACCACAGTAACCTTTGTTTGTTTTCAAAACTGTAAACAACAACATCACCTACGCCACCAACACAACCACTAATACCACCATCATCACTGCTCTCAGCGTGCTGATACCACAGTAACTTTTGTCTGTTTTCAAAACTTTAAACAACAACATCACCTACGCACCAACACAACCACTAAGACCACCATCATCAATGCTCTTAGCATGCAGATACCACAGTAACCTTTGTTTCTTTTCAAAACTGTAAACAACAACATCATTTACGCCACCAACACAACCACTAAGACCAATATCATCACTGCTCTCAGCGTGCGGATACCACAGTAACCTTTGTCTGTTTTCAAAACTGTACACAATAACATCACCTACGCCACCAACACAACCACTAAGACCACTCATAATCACAGCTCACAGCATGCTGATACCACAGTAACCTTTGTTTGTTTTCAAAACTGTCAACAACAACATCACTTACGCCACCAACACAACCACTAAGACGACCATCATCACTGCTCACAGCGTGCGGATACCACAGTAACCTTTGTTTGTTTTCAAAACTGTAAACAACAACATCACCTACGCCACCAACACAATCACTAAGACCACCATCATCACTGCTCTCAGCGTGAAGATACCACAGTAAACTTTTGTTTGTTTTCAAAACTGTAAACAACAACATCACCTACGCCCACCAACACAGGCACTAAGACCACATCACCACTACTCTCAGCGTGCGGATACCACAGTAACCTTTGTTTTTTTTCAAAACTGTAAAACAACAAAATCATCTACGCCACCAACACAACCACTAAGACCACCATCATCACTGCTCTCAGCGTGCGGATACCACAGTAACCTTTGTTTGTTTTCAAAACTGTAAACAACAAAATCACCTACGACATCAACACAACCACTAAGACCACCATCATCACTGCTCTCAGCATGCGGATACCACAGTAACCTTTGTTTGTTTTCAAAACTGTAAACAACAAAATCACCTACGCAACCCACACAACCACTAAGACCACCATCATCACAGCTCACAGCGTGCGGATACCACAGTAACCATTGTTTTTTTCAAAACTGTAAACAACAAAATCACCTACGCAACCAACACAACCACAAAGACCACCATCATCACTGCTCTCAGCATGCGGATACCACAGTTACCTTTGTTTGTTTTCAAAACTGTAAACAACAACATCACCTACGCCACCAACACAATCACTAAGACCACCATCATCACTGCTCTCAGCGTGAAGATACCACAGTAACTTTTGTTTGTTTTCATAACTGTAAACAACAACATCACCTACGCCACCAACACAGGCCACTAAGACCAACATCACCACTTACTCTCAGCGTGCGGATACCACAGTAACCTTTGTTTGTTTTCAAAACTGTAAACAACAAAATCATCTACGCCACCAACACAACCACTAAGACCACCATCATCACTGCTCTCAGCGTGCGGATACCACAGTAACCTTTGTTTGTTTTCAAAACTGTAAACAACAAAATCACCTACGCCATCAACACAACCACTAAGACCACCATCATCACTGCTCTCCAGCATGCGGATACCACAGTAACCTTTGTTTGTTTTCAAAACTGTAAACAACAAAATTACCTACGCAACCCACACAACCACTAAGACCACCATCATCACAGCTCACAGCGTGCGGATACCACAGTAACCATTGTTTTTTTCAAAACTGTAAACAACAAAATCACCTACGCAACCAACACAACCACAAAGACCACCATCATCACTGCTCTCAGCATGCGGATACCACAGTTACCTTTGTTTGTTTTCAAAACTGTAAACAACAACATCACCTACGCCACCAACACAACCACTAAGACCACCATCATCACAGCACACAGCGTGCGGATACCACATTTACCTTGGTTTGTTTTCAAAACTGTAAACAAAAAATCACCTACGCAACCAACATAACCACTAAGACCACCAGCATCACTGCTCTTAGCATGCGGATACCACAGTAACTTTTGTTTGTTTTCAAAACTGTAAACAACAAAATCACCTACGCCACCAACACAACCACTAAGACCACCATCATCACTGCTCTCAGCGTGCTGATACCACAGTTGCCTTTTGTTTGTTTTCAAAACTGTAAACAACAACATCACCTACGCCACCAACACAACCACTAAGACCACCATCATCACTGCTCTCAGCGTGCGGATACCACAGTTACCTTTATTTGTTTTCAAAACTGTAAACAACAACATCACCTACGCCACCAACACAACCACTAAGACCACCAT